TACTAGATTGAGTCGGGTCGGATTAACCTGACCCAAAAACACAAAACAATTCACCAACATAAAAGAAAACAGATCAAGCAAGACAGAAACAGAAATAGAATCTGCACAGCAACAAAATGAAACTTAGGGTTCATCTATTAAAAAAAAAAAGAACACGTTCATAAAAAAAAATCATATTCACCAACAGAAAAATAAAAGACACATTCATCAGACAAATGAACTGGACTTTTTTTTTCCATTGATTTTCAGTAAACACTTACAAACTTAAACATCATAAAAGCAAATCACAGAACAGAAGTCAAAAGAAACAAGCATGGTGGAGTTTTCTGGGTAACAGATCGGAGTCCGATCTGGGGAATCCCACCCACGAGATTAAGCCCAGATCATTCCCTTCACTGCCTCCCCAAAAGGACTCCTCTGTTCAGAAAATTACCTAAGCAGGAAACAAACACAGAAAAATAAGCCTCCTTTTCAATTGCCGTCGACCTCCAAAAAAATGTTCTCCTCCGTCAACACCACATTACATTCAAACAAGCAAAGTCCCCCCTTGCCTTCTAACCAAAACCCTCTATTTATACCCATCAATGACCGAGCTTTATCTTATTCAAAAACGAGACAAGGTGCCAAGGAGAATCGGACAACCAGAGCAGGTACAAGATCGGGTTGCAGGATTGCGTTGCAGCCGGGGATTGCACGATTGGGGTATAGGTGATGAGTGCAGATCGGCTCGGGTAGAGGAGGGGTGATAAGTGCAGATCTGGGCTCGGGCAGAGGAAGGTGCAGGCGCGCAGGGGGTAGGGCACGTAGGCGTGCAGGAGGCATGATTGCAGGTGCGCAGCGTGCAGGAGCTAGTGCAGAGCAAAGCTGGTGCAGGAAGCAAGGCCGGGCGCAGCAGAGTGCAGGCTGGGGCAGAGGAAGGTGCAGGCGATCTGGGCGCAGAGCAGGGAGCAGGGGCGTAGGTGCAAGGCTCGGGCGTAGGTGCAGGGCTAGTGCAGCTAGGCTGGGCGTGCGAGGGGGCGATGATGGCTCGGTGCAGAGGAGTTGGGCGCGGTGCAGAGGATCTGGACTGTGCAGGGGGGAGAGGAAGCTAGAGATTGATGCAGAGGAGGGTGTAGGCTCATTCGGGAGAGAGAAAAGTAAAAGAAAAATGGAAGAAGGGGTTCTGGAGAAAAAAAGATTTAATCTTTTTTTCTTTTATTATTATTATTTTTTTTTTTGGGTTAAATGAGTTTGGCATTTGGGCTTGGGTTTGGGTAATGTTGGTTTTGGATTTTTGGGTAATTTTTGGTTTTGGGATTTTGGGCTTGGGTAGTTGGTAGGCCCTGAGTTTTGGGTAATTGAGTTTGAGTTTGGTGGGTTTTGGATTGGGTTTGATGGGTTTTGGGCTAGACTTTGCATTTCACCCCTCCAACTTTCCATTTCTTCAATTGAGTCCTTTCTCGAGTTTCCTTTCCCATTTCCTTCTTGAATTTCCCCTTTTTGCACCTGAAAGAAAATGAAGATGTATTAGTTAAAGAAAAGAGAGATTGTCATATTTTCATTTTTTTTAAATTAATTTTTGTGATTAATATTTTTTTTTTGTTTTTTTTTTTTATATATGAAAAGTTTAAATAAGTTGAATGAAGAATTGGGTTATGACACCCATTCACCTTGATTTTTAAACTCTTGGACATGAATTCCATCATGGCTGTTGATATAAAAAGCCTGGCAAAATCGAATCTAAGTTTCCTGTTGGTGCTATCATTAAGTGTAATGAACTGACCCCATAAATTGCCAATTGTTTCAAAAAATTTAGGACCCTAGCTATGCAGTGGCACTCCAAGACACTTAAGCCACACAAATCTTTCTCTAGCAACCATTAATGGTGTCCGTGGCTAAATTTCATCAAACCATTGCCTAAGCCAATTTGCAGCAATTTCCACCAGATTCCTCAGCTCTTCTTTATCCTCACATTGTAGCAAAACCAACTTGCCTCCCATAGGCTTTACATTGCATGCAAAGTAACCTTCCATAAAAAACCTTTCTTGTACGATTGGAACTATTTCAACAAACCTAACAATCCCTACATAACACCCTTCCAACCAAGCTTGATCCTCCTTTAGTACCGTGAAATCTAATCCCGTCCGTGGTTGTTGCGAATTCCTTTGTAGCCACACTTTCCTCTCTTTTGATCTTTGGTTTATAGTCTGAACCCTCTGCTCCTTCTTCTGTGATTCTTCTTTTGGGAATGCCCTACCCATTAGAGCCTCAGCATAAGATTTGGTTAGTTTAACTCAAGATGCCTCGCCCTTCCTTTCTCGATGAAACTTACTATCCCTCTTGTTGAATCTAGGTAAGTTCACATGCAACTTTTTATTGCCAATCCAAAGTTGGTCCAGTTGTCGCTCTAGTTTTTTCTCATCAGTAACTTCCAAAAAGCGAACAAAACCAAACCGATCACCAACTTTATTCCTTCTCTTTGATACATAGATTGCATATACCCTACCATGCTTTTTAAACATCTTCCACATATCCTCATAGCTCCAATCATCAAGGAAGTTGGAGAAGTAGAAAGCAGTGGCTTTCCTTAACAGATTTTGGTCGTAACCACCAAAATTTTGTCTTTCTCTTCTTTGATGCTTTGCAGAAGTATCCCGCCAATTCCATCGATCTCTTCCGTGGTTGAAGCTATCTTCCCAACTAGTGCCGTCCATCTAGCCAATCCGCCTTGTCATCTTACTCTTCCTATTTCCATAATCAAAAATTCTGTCATGCCACTATGAACACTAATTCATCTCCTTTGCCCAAATACTTATACTATCATATTGATAACTCTCACAAAGCAATAATATTGTTTGGATATAGACAAAGGTATGTGCTTTACAACCAGTGATTGTAAGTGACTAAATGGCCACATGTCACACACAAGACTTCAAGCTTTCCAAAGCAAGAATTCAACCTTGCCAATGCAAAAACTGGCCATGTGTCCTGTATCCTTTTCATGAGTGTTGCTAGAGTCAAGTGCCCAACTCCTAGAAGTGGCACCACTTCTACTCATATAGGTAGATCCCATCAAAAGTGTCCCCGCATTGAGCACCATAATAAAAATTTGTTATAGGACCTATTAAGAGCGAAACTCAACCTCCACTTTGTTTCATGTGGTTACAAAGTACTCTTCCACTTGGGATGGTATTATTAATAAATTGAGTACTTGCAATCAATTCATATGATGTAGTTTACTCATTGAACCTAAGACTTAAAGTTTTTATCAAGTGTTAAGTCGAGGTTCCATCATGTGTAACTTTTATCAGTAGACTTGATACCTATCCCTTTCCTTGTCTTGTAAATTTTCCTTTGCTAATCCTTTTAATCAAGGATTCATGAAGTTAATTCTCAAAAGACCTTGCAAAGATTATGGTGATCACCTCATTTAAGAATTGATTATTTTCATGTTTACATTTTATGACAACAAGTCTACTATCATATAGACTTCTCTATAAGCACTTGATGACATCCTATTATTTTTAGTCATCATACACATTCATATAAGAATGTCTTAGATTAATTTGACCTCTTGAAATGTGTAGATATCTCCAAGAACAAGTGCTATCACTTTTAAACAGTGCCATATTACTTTGCAATATCATGAACAAGTGGAATTCTTGCTTCCTTCACTTCTAAATTTAATTTTTATTTGCTTGTCAGGTGTCAAGGACTTTTAGTCCTTATTCCTCTCACTCTTGGTATTGTTCCCACTATTTTAGATATTGTTTTTATCAATTTTATGACATCAATATTCTCCATGAGAGACATATCAAGATAATTTTTTATTTATCAAAAATGGTTCAATTTGTATAAATATGATTTGAACCAAATCCTTAATGCTCTTTGAGTTTTCTGTGTAATTGATTCGAACCAACTTTAAGTGGTGTGAACCCAAATCTTGGAATTTTTTGAGCTTACTATGCAATTGAACCAACTTTTAGTGATTCAAACCCACACCCTATGGCTTTCTGAGCTCACTATGTAATTGATTCAAAGCATCTTTGAGTGATTTGAACCAAAATTTAGGAACAACTCAAATCATTAGATTTATTTTCCATAACCAGGAGCTAATCACTCTTGCTATTTGTAGGATTCTTTACATCCATTTTTCTTTATTTGGACCATTAAACTAGGCTTCCAAAATGAATCAAGTGCACAAAGTTGCACTAGCTTCTACAAATTATCTCATCAAGAGATAGCATCTAAACAAGGACTCAAAAATCCTTCATGGCCAAAGGCCTTATTAATTCTTAATCAAAACTAAGAGCCTTTTCACTTGGTCTCTCTTAACCTTGTTTATATTCAAAGTAAGATCACCAATTGGATCTTTACATGCATTTGCCAAATTCTATTTCAATATTTTTGTCTTTAACATGGCTAAATAGCCATTATGAGACTTGATTCTCACTCATTTCAATTTACATATACTGATATATAATCTTACAAGCATAAATAAAAGGCATCAAAAGTTACAAGTGGACATATCCTTTAAGCAATCTTTCATTAATGAAACAATACCAGGTTAATTAGCCTCTAATATTTCCACAAGTCTCATGTCAAGACAAACAAAATAACAAACAAGAAGCATGTATATGGATCATATGTATAGAGCACAAATGATTTTAATTAAACTGTTATGTGCATAAACGTGGTTATAACATAATCCAAGTAAATCTCATTTACTCTAATAAACCTTAAGAAAACTTTAATAAGATCATGTCCATAAGTAAGGTATACTACTTAAAAGTCTATAAAGCTTCATAAGTAATCACCATAAAACAGTTATATGTTCACTTGCTAAAACTTAATGTTTATTGTGCACTGAAATAATTTAATTATTAGGAAATGCAAATACCATTTGTTCAACCAATAACCATGCATTGAACAACCTTAATAACATGCCCAGAAGCATTCAATTTTATTGGATATCAATTTTTATATTCAACATGAATACTGCATTATATAATTCCTAACAATGCTCATGTGGAGACAAACCAGAGTCAGCAACATGCATGCATATCTAATTTGGAATTCACCATGGTGTAAATATAAGTAAATGTTAGTACTACGGTAAAAAAAAAAAAAAATTGTTTCTTTGACAATGAAATAAATATAAAAATTACCAAAAATAAAATATATCATAAATATTAATTTTCACTGTGGGATTTTGGAGCATACTGATTCCTATGGAGATTGGCAAGGCGATGGCAATGCATCTATAATCACTTTCTTGAGGAAATGTGGCGGAAAATCAATGATTCTGTAAACAAATGTTTCTAAATTTAATGTGTTTCTGTTTCAAGTGTATTATGAATTATTATGAAGTATCATATGATTTCCTCTAAATTGTTTTGTGTAATAAGTTTGCATTTTCATCAGTGGAAGAATATATGTTCTTGTTTTCTTCGTCACTAAATTATATTGATCTTTAGCTTGCTACCTTGCACTAATTATGTTAGGTATACGCTTCTTTTCTTGTTACTATAACAAATCAGATTGGATCATCAACGTCTTCTTAATTTGATTCTATGATCCTTAATAATTTGCTCTATTTTAATTTCAGCTCCCCAATCTGGTTAATCCTCCACAACATCCTGCATGGTAGTGTTCGAGATATATTCAATTAACTTTTTGAACATAATGAATGTTAACTTGTCTAAACTATTGTTTGTAACCTTTTTCTTAAAACAATTCCATGGCATATAGGATATATATTGTTCACGAAACAACGAAAACCTTCCCATTCTACACAAACTAGCATTTGTAGAATATGTTGAAAAAGTAATGAAAAGAAATTCATGTAGGCGTGTGGAATTGGGGGTGGAAAAAATATGTTTAGGTCCCATCGGAGCTGTTGGGGCAATTATATTGATGGTAGGCGTGTCAAATGGGTTATGGAAACATAGCATGAAAGACGTTGAACCAAAGGAAATTGAAGATTTTCCGTATGAAATGGGGCATGGAAAAATCATGCTTGGGGTCATGTCCGAGCTGTTGAAAAAATATGTAGAAGGCGTATCCAATGGGTTATGGAATAGCAGAGTGTTAGCGTGTGAGATCAAGTCTTTAATGTGGCAGTTACATTTAGTTTATTTTACTTAGTGGTGTAGCAGTTTCTTTTTAGTTGGTAACTTCTTTTCATTTTCAGCAACTGTTATGTATAACCTTCTTTCTTTAAAACGTGTGTGTA